AAAACAGCAAACATGAGGCTGTTTAAACCATCGTTAAGCGAAACAGGGGACCCAAAATTTAATCACTATGCGAAGCATGGTCCCAACCATCGCTAAGCGAAAATTGCCCATAGGGACCATTGTTAGACGAAGCGTAAAAACTCTCCAAAAAAGTCGTCACTAAGCGATTTCATCGTTAAATGAAGCAATCGCTAAGCGAGGCACCACTGTAATAATATTCTGTCAAACACACACACTTGTAACACACACAGGGGGAGCAATAAGACTGCCCCTTTGCATCCCTGATACTGATAGGAGTATCATTACCTGTGAAAGATGTACAGCCATTCTTTCCCATTCATGACCAAGAGATGATGGTCCAGAGCTTGTCTCTGTTGCCATTTCACTGCCTGTGAGACAGAAAGAGGAAGCGTATACTAAGCCACCTCAGAGATTCCTGCAGTTGTTCCTGTCATGTGGGAAGAGAAGCTGTGTCTGGGAAGAGCTGGCAAGTGACATCTCTCAGATGCCTGTTGAGAAAAGAGAATTGTACGGCAGGAAAGTTTGCCATCTCTTGCTTTTGTTTATTGTCTTTTAGTGGTGGTATCTGTTTGATCCTTTTTAACATTTCTATACTTACTGTTTTCAGCTTTTTATATTGTCTCCTAATCTTTTAATGATGTAAGCCATCTTGAGTCTGCCTTAAGGAGAAAAGAAGGGTAAAAACCTTTTTAATCATTCGATCAATCAATCAATCAATCAATCTTCAGACACATATAGTGTATAAGTAATGCCTGGGTTTCCCCAAGCTATAAAAGAATGGTACAGTGATGCCTCGCTTAACGAGTGCTTCGTTTAACGACGAATTCGCTTAGCGATGGCTTTTTCGGAGCGATCTTGCGCTCTGTTAACAGGCTTTTTCAGAGCGATCTTGCGCTCCGTTAACGATGTTCCTTATGGGCGATTTTCACATAGCGATGTTTGGGACCATGCTTCGCATAGTGATGACAGTTTGGGTCCCCCTGTTTCACTTAATGATGGTTTTGACAGCCTCATGTTGGCTTTTTATATGTTTAAAAATGTTTAAAAATGTTTAGAATGCTTGAAATCATAAGTGCACTTAATAAACCCCTTGTTAAACTAATTTGACCCTGTTCCGACTCTTTTAAAATTTGTTGTAATTTATTCCCCTCCACTGAGATGTGTTGAATAGGTTTCAATGCATTTCAATTGGGGAACCGCGTTTCACTTAGCAATGTTTCCTATGGCGATTTTCGCTTAAGGACAGCAATCCGTTCCCATTGGAACAGATTATTTGGTTTTAAATGCATTTCTATGGGAAACCGCGTTTCGCTTAGCGATGTTTTCCCATAGCGATGATTTTTTTTGGAACCAATTAAAATCGTTAAGCGAGGCACCACTGTATTTCACATTCATATGTCATTCTTCATCACACTCTTGGTTGTGCCCTAAAAAGGGAAGGATGGGTTGTGTCCTGTAAACTATTAATTGACTTTCCCTTAACTTTGAAAGGAGACTCTAGCACAGGGTAAAAATGAAAAATGGGAAAGCAAAAGATGAAAAAATAAAAATGGATGTCAAAAGGGGCAGGAGACTCACAAGAAACAAATTCAGAGATATGCTTGCATTATTTTTTTTCTGTGAAACAAAGGGCTTTTTGATAAATGCAGACCACATAGCACACAACTTTTTACTGCACCGTGGCCAAAATCCTGTTGTAGAGCTATGCCTGTGGATCTCTCCACAGCTATGCCTGGGGAGCTCAAGCAATTGTGAAATCCACCTCCAGGCAGAAGTCATATCTAGGAAGCTACTATATACAGGCAGTTGCACAACTTGTTAGAAAAACCTATCGTGCAATTAGATACATCGTGTGTACTCTCTGGGCATTAACTCATTATGAATTTCCATAGGTGTAACTCCACCACTACACCATGTAGGACAGGATTTCAGCCAGGGCAGAATAAGGCATGCATTACGTTGGGAGATAAGTATATGAGCTCTTTAATAAAGTTCAGGAAGGTGGGTTCCTTTCTCCAGCTTAAGCAACACAGGGAGTGTTAGGTAAGGGGAAAAAACAATACAACTGGAGTTAATAAGACAGTTAAGGATAGGAAAACCATTAAACATGCTGAAATCTCATATTACACAATAGGGAGAAATTAATATAAAAGCAGTTGTCTGAGGCATCATGGCTTAAACTTTGCATCCTGTGCTTCAGCCCACCTGCTCACCTAGAAAATGTATGCACATTTCACAACCAGTAAGGGCACCTGAAGGTTTGCTTCTCTTTTTTTTTCTTTCTGTCGACAGATCCAAAACCATTTTGGTCCATAAAGTAAGCCTCACTAAAAGCTCTTGCAGTACCGCTCTCCCATTCCTTCTACTTCATGCTTGGGGATTTTTGTTTGATGGATTGTTTGTTTTACTGGTATTTACCTGCTCCTTTTAGTTTTTATTGTACTCATTAAGTTCTCAGACACATACACATGTTTAATGGACACTGGGGGGAAATGAGATACAGTAAATCTCTCTCTCTCTCAGCGGGGGGGGGGGCATTCATCTCCTGCTCCACAGCTCAGAAAGGGCAGCTCAACCCCAAGGAGGGGCCACCCACCCTTCCCAAATCCCCAAGCCCACAGCCGGGAGTGGAGCTGAGGAGCAGCCCCTCCAGGTCCTGCCTTGAGATCTCTCCCTCCTCCGCTTCCCAAGGCAAATGAAAGCCAGGCCCTTTTTGAAATCCCCGCTGTCGCCTCAAGGGAATCCGGTGGGGGGGGGTTCCTCCTTCCCGGCCAGCGATCTTGAATCAAGGGGACTCGGCGGCCCCGATCCCTTCCAGGACAGGCGCCACAGGCAGAGGCAGCTATTCCCCCCTTCCCACCTCCACCTCTCTCAGTCTACACGCCCTTGAAAGGCTGCTTCCTTTCTACCAAGGGAGGAATCTTGGTAGGAAGACGGGGCCATTTGAGGAGGAAGAAGAAGAAAAATTGCCTTTTCCAGGCTGTTCTCCAGCGGCAGAAAGCCTTTACCTCAGCCCAAGTTTTTGGCACCAGGATTGCAAGCATCATCTTCCTGGGAAGGATCCCAAGAGGGAAAGGGTACGTGTGGGGTACCATCCCCAAAACTCCCACGGGCCGCTTCGGCCCATTTTCCCTCACCTTCCCTCATTATCCCAAAGTCACCGTTTTTGTACCTCTTTCTCCTCCTCTCTCCAGGCAGCGGCCTCACCGAGACACCTTCCTTTTTCCTTCCCGGAAGACCGAAGGAGGTGCGCTGATTATTTTCTTCCCCCACCTTTCAAACGCCCTGCCGCTCTAGGAACGTACACTCCTTTTACTTAACCCTTGGGAGGGCTCAGTAGCAGAAGCTCTCCTTTCCTTCTCTTCTCCCCGCCACCCCATCCTTTTTTCATAAGTCCATCATTTTAACAATTATCTGGGCTGCTGAATTTTCAATTCAGGATCAGTGAGAAAAAAGAGCTCTTGATTCCGAGGGGAGGAAAACAACAAGTGTAATTTTCAATTCAGGATCAGTGAGAAAAAAAGAGCTCTTGATTCCGAGGGGGGAAATCCCAACGGAATATAGTATTATTAACGCTCTACCTACTACTATTGTATTAAATGTCTGTAATTTTTAGGGTTATCTCATTATTGCCCTTTGCCTGTCTTGTATTTTCCTTGGTTTGTTAGCCATTCCTGGCCTTGGTGAGGAAAGGTTGGATAGCAAGAGAAAGCATGTATTTAAAAATACCAGCATATTCTCTCTTGTTACTCTGTTCTGGAAAATAATGGTGTGGGTGGCTTGAAATCTCATAACATGGTGGAGAGGAAGGTGGCCCTTTTTTTCCAGCAGGCTCCTCTTTTTTCCCATGCCCTTCGCTCTTGCTGGGATACTGGTGGGTGCCTTGAACACAGAAACATATCCACGGGAGTCCTTTCCAGTGGTCCCCAAATGTGGGCCTCCAGATGTTCTTGGACTACAACTCCCAGAAGCCTTCACCACCCACCTCTGCTGGCCAAGATTTCTGGGAGTTGAAGTCCAAGAACACCCGGCGGTCCAAGGTTGGGGACCACTGAGCTCCATAGGGATCGCACAAGGGCCTTGCATGACCACCTACTCATGCAGATCATCCCTGCACAAGGGCCTTGCATGGCCACCACAGAAGCAGCACTGGATTGCTCTCCTGGCGACTCCCAAGCTGAGTGGCAGCATGTCCAGGTCTTTGCTTCTTTTGGGGGAGGCCCTGAAGCAATGGGTGGCCTGTGTTGCGTGACCAGCATCTGCCATGCTGTGAGGTTGTTTGATTCTCCCTTGATGCCATTGCCACCAAGTGGTGTGTTAATGTTGGTGCCATGCTTCAGTGGTGGTACAGAGCTAGGGTTGCCAGATACAGTACATGTGTATGAAAAGGAGAACATAGAAAGCAAAAAAAGGAGGACAAAGGAGGACATATGGGGGGCCGCTCTGTGCACAGGGTGGGGTGGGGTGCACGTCACTTGTATTAGCTGGGCTCTATTAGATACAGACCTGACATTCAACATCAGTTGAGTTTTCTATTCAAAAAAATTTCAAAGTAGGTGACCCTTTCGAACAGATGTCAGATGTTACATCCGGGTAAAGCTGCTCCCTTGTACGTATATGAACATGCCTCTGTCATCCCACGAAGAAAGCATTTTATGCAACTTTAATTGGTTCACCAAAAGATCTGCATATTTCTTAGAGCAACCCGAAATGCCATCTAAAACCCCTTGAAGAGTTGTGCCTTTTGCATGAGGACATGACAGTGGCATTTAGCATGCAGATAGAAGGGGAAGTGATCATTTTGTTTTCCAGCCCTCAATTTAATCCTCTCTGATTAATGTTAGGAAACTGCGCAGAACACCTGTTTAAAATATGAGCTCATTCTCAAATTAGCCTGATCTCAGCTGGTACATTCTTGAAAGGAAACATTGTTTATCTTAGTTTTCATGCAACGTCTCCTACTAAATTAACAGGAGAGTGAGAGAATGTTGCAAAGCCAACAATTGTTTTATTGCAAATATGTGGTTCAGAGAACTGAGCAGATGACTAAACAGATGGACATTACCAGAGGGCCAGTACAGAAATCAGACTATATAATTGGAAAGAGGAGAAGAAAATGTACATTGCTACTGATTAAATCAGACCAAGAGCAGACTGTGATATAGATAATGAACTGTTAATTAGGCATGGGATTTTTTCAGATTTTTTTTTCAATAGAAAAACCACAATTTACTAGGAATTCACCCAGTGAATATTCTGGCAGCTGTAGCCAAAAAATCTAAGCCCTAACACACGTGAGGCCCAGCATATTTTCTTTAAGTATTGTAAAGGAAGAGAGAAGATGGGACTTGCTGAGCTTCAATAGTTGTGGAATTTGTAGTATTTTAGAAAGGCACCATGTACAAAGCTTAATGAGCAGAGAGACCACCAGTCCCACAACCCATTGTAGTTCCCATGGAACTTATGAAGATCTAAACACACTCTCTTTTTGCAATGTTGCAGAGAAGAACATGCTAGGACCCAGTTGGGTGTGCTGAAACTAGTATACAAAATCCTATTCTCTGAATGTCTCAAGCTCTTTTTTCACACCATGTGTTTATATGGCTTCTTTAGTGTGCGCGTTTTTCTGATGACGCATAAGATTCCCCTTCAGACTGAAACTCTTTCCACACCCCACACATTCATACGGTTTTTCTCCCGTGTGAGTTCTTTGGTGCCGACTAAGGCATGATTTCTGACTGAAGCTCTTTCCACACTCTGTACATTTATACGGCTTTTCCCCTGTGTGAGTTATTTGATGCCGCCTAAGGATCGCTTTCTGGCTGAAGCTCTTTCCACACTCCATGCATTGATATGGCTTTTCCCCTGTGTGAGTTCTTCGATGCCGGCCAAGAATACCTTTCTGACTGAAGTGTTTTTCACACTGCGTGCATTTATATGGTTTATCCCCACTGTGAATACTCTGATGAAGCCTAAACGCCCCTTTATGATGGAAGTCTTTACCACACTCCATGCATTTATATGGTTTCTCTACTGTGTGAGTTATTTCATGGAGTCTAAGATTCGCTTTCCGACTAAATCTCCTTCCACATTCCATACATTTATACGGTTTCTCCCCTGTATGAATACTTTGATGCCGCCGAAGAACTCCTTTCTGATTGAAGGTCTTTCCACAATCCATACATTTATACGGTTTCTCCCCTGTATGAATACTTTGATGTCGCCCAAGGACCCCTTTCTGATTGAAGCTCCTTCCACACTCCGTACATTTATATGGCTTCTCCCCCGTGTGAGTTCTTTGGTGGGAAGTAAGAGACGCACTATCACATAAATGCTTTCCACACTCCATACATTTATATGGCTTCTCCCCTGTGTGGGTTCTTTTATGGGCACTAAGGGACCCACAATAATTGAAGCTCTTTCCACATTCCAGGCATTTATACGGTTTCCCTCCAGTGTGCATGCTTTCATGCCCCCTTAGGTGCCCTTTCTGACTGAAACTTTTTCCACACTCCATGCATTTATATGGTTTCTCCCCTGTGTGGGTTCTTTGATGTAACCTAAGGTCCCCTTTCTGTCTGAAGCTCTTTCCGCATTCCATACATGTATATGGTTTCTCCCCTGTGTGAATCCTCTGATGTTGCTGAAGGATCCATTTCTGACTGAATCTCTTCCTACATTCCATGCATTTATAAGGCTTCTCTCCTGTATGAGTTCTTTGATGTAAAACAAGATTAGAACTAAAAGCGAAGCTCCTCCCACATACCAGGCACTTCCATGGTTTCTTCACTTTGATGCTGCTTTTATAAAAAAATGTTCCACTGTCACTCAGATGTTTTTCAGGGTCCATATCCATTTCTGACTGAATCTCTTCCTACATTCCATGCATTTATAAGGCTTCTCTCCTGTATGAGTTCTTTGATGTAAAACAAGATTAGAACTAAAAGCGAAGCTCCTCCCACATACCAGGCACTTCCATGGTTTCTTCCCTTTGATGCTGCTTTTATAAAAAAATGTTCCACTGTCACTCAGATGTTTTGCAGGGTCCATGCCTTGTTTTGATCCTGACTGGATTATTCTGTATCTCTTTAATTTGCCATCTCCTTCCTGAGAATCTGAGGATTCTTTCTTTCCTTTCTTGCACTGGTTTTGCTTGCGATTCTTTGGTCCTTTTGGAATTCTAACTATTTCTCTTCCTTCTTCAGCCTTCTTAACTTCCCATGATGCAAGAGGTAGCTTCTGGCCATTCTCATCCCCTGAATTTGGGAGTGAAAAAGAAAATTAATATCCTGTCAGGAGTTTCGGGAAGACTTCGAAGCTTCAGAATTCTCCTTAGAGAGCAAATTATTCATTCCCACCCCCACTGTCTCAAGGAGGACCATCTCTTCCTTCTTGTGCCCCCCGATGAACCTAGATCATCTTCTTGATACAGTAGGACCCCCATATCTGCAAAGCATCAGTACCAAGTCAACCCCCATGGATGCCAAACCCACAGATAATAGCAAACACTATACATAGTATTCTCTCTGGCTCCCTCTTGTAGCAAGTTCTGGTAACTACAGTTGTACCTGCTTGACGACAATAATCCATTCCAGCGAAATCACTGTAGAGCGAAATTGTCGTCAAGCGAAAGTAAAAACCCATTAGAATGCATTAAAACTGGTTAATGCGTTCTAATGGGGGAAATACCTCATCGTCCAGTGAAGATCCTCCATAGGGCAGTCATTTTCCAATGCCTGTATAGCGAGCAATCAGTCCTGAAAACAGTGGGGAGCCATTTTGCACAGTGAGCGGCCATTTTGAAAACCCAACAATCAGCTGTTTTTGATTGTCGTAATGCGAAAAACCGGTTCCCGAAGCAGGGAACCGATCATTGTCAAGCAAAAATCGCCCATAGAATCATCATTTTGCGATCACAATAGCGATCGCAAAAACATCGGTGTCAAGCGATTTCATCGTATAACGAGGTAATAGTCAAGCGGGGCACCAATGTATAACATATAAATATTGTATGCCTTTATGGGATTTTTCTTTTAATATTTTTAACATTCACAGACCACAGATATCTACGCTATGGATGAGGAGGTCCTACTTTAAGCTGTTTAACAATGACAGGAGCTTGCTTCTCTATGGTATCCTATGTGGTTTTGGACTGCAGACAGAACAGGAGAAAAACAGAACTGCAGCCAGGGGTTGGGAAGCTGAAGGAAACAAAACCTGGAACATTTCACTCCTTCTCTTTCTGTTAAGCTGGTTGTGTTTAGAACCCAAGATTAAAACATATGGCAAGCGGTATGCTGTTCCTCTGTACTATATTTACAATTCCTGATCAGTCAGGAGCAGTTCTACTTCAGCTGCAACCTCTGAATCTCTTGGGATAGGTCACGGAGGGCACCTTCAATTATTTGACTATTTTTATCTATTCCTCCCAAGAGAGAAGAATGAAGAGGATAAAATGGTATCCTTAGAGGCCAAAGACAAGACTATGCATACAGTAAAGTCCGAATTCTCCCTAGAAACGAAGATGAAGGAACTTATGCTACTGTACTTTGGCTTCATCATGACAAGAGGATAACGAGGTAATAGTCAAGCGGGGCACCAATGTATAACATATAAATATTGTATGCCTTATGGGATTTTTCTTTTAATATTTTTAACATTCACAGACCACAGATATCTACGCTATGGATGAGGGGGTCCTACTTTAAGCTGTTTAACAATGACAGGAGCTTGCTTCTCTATGGTATCCTATGTGGTTTTGGACTGCAGACAGAACAGGAGAAAAACAGAACTGCAGCCAAGGTTTGGGAAGCCGAAGGAAACAAAACCTGGAACATTTCACTCCTTCTCTTTCTGTTAAGCTGGTTGTGTTTAGAACCCAAGATTAAAACCTATGGCAAGCGGTATGCTGTTCCTCTGTACTATATTTACAATTCCTGATCAGTCAGGAGCAGTTCTACTTCAGCTGCAACCTCTGAATCTCTTGGGATAGGTCACGGAGGGCACCTTCAATTATTTGACTATTTTTATCTATTCCTCCCAAGAGAGAAGAATGAAGAGGATAAAATGGTATCCTTAGAGGCCAAAGACAAGACTATGCATACAGTAAAGTCCGAATTCTCCCTAGAAACGAAGATGAAGGAACTTATGCTACTGTACTTTGGCTTCATCATGACAAGAGGCAAGACTCCCTGGAAAAGACAGTCATCCTAGGAGGTAATGTTGCAGGTGCTACAGGAAAGGTGAAAGACCTAATAGGAGATGGATTGACCCCATCTACATAGGAACCTGGAATGTCAGATCTATGAACATTGGGAAGCTGGAGGTGGTCAAACAGGAGATGGCAAGAATAAACATCGACATCCTGGGCATCAGTGAACTAAAATGGACAGGAATGGGCGAATTCAGCTCAGATGATTATCATATCTACTATTGTGGA